ATTGAAATGATCAATGTAACTTAAGAAACGTACATATACATAAAACCTATTTACAAGTTTTATCAATTCGATTTTTTCTTATTGAATTTAAAAAAAAAATCTTGTTCTGAGAAAAGAAAAATTGGATGAAATCATTTTCCTTCTATATAATATAGTCGTCTAAACATTTTTGCTTTATTACGAATGAAAATTCTCCGCTTCGAAACAGGTGTTTTTTTTTTTTCATCTAGACTGCGAGGAAGAAAGAGTGGAGACGCGAGTTTTCCTCGTAGATTTTTCCGCTCAATGTTGGCGATCCTGCGTGAAATCGCCGTGCCGCGCCGCGTCGCTTCGTTGTCATTTGGCGCCACCTACGATAGAAACGATGCCTAACCTCTACGATCACGCATAGACGGCCGCGAAGATCCATTGTCGAACAAAACAAACGACGGCGTACGGTATCGGCCGTTCGATCGGCTGTACTTGGATAAGACGATCGCGGCGACGATCGGCGTGGCCGCGTTCGCCGTCGAACGATCGGCTTTGCCCGCACGCATTTTCCCGCCCTTTCGACCGGCCGACATTTTATTTGGTGGGGGGCAAAAAGAAACGCACCAAAACATAAAAGGTCGGCGCTGATTGGCTTACTTTTTGCGGCTTATCTGAAATAAGCCAATGGTAATGGGAGATTTTCCCCGTACAGTGGCCGTATGCCGCACGAGTGGCGTGGGGTCGCGATATTCGAAGCTGAAGAATCCTTTTAGCCGTAGCGGATCCCGTTCCAGGTAAGAAAAATCCAAATATTTTTCGCGGGCCGCGTTGACAGATCCGCGGGACGCCGCGTGGATGCTCCGCGCGTACGTACGGACCGTCGGACCCGCCCAACGCGAGCGTGTCCGCTGGCCGTAGGCCGCTACCGTGCTGCGTTCTTCGTACGTATACCTTTTATTTCCGTACTACCGTCAGCACACGGCAGCAAATGGCTGCCCGGGCGGACGCGTCGTGCGCGTACGCCTCGTCGTTGTGTCGTCTCGTCGCGCGTTATTGAGATACCGTGCGACGAATGGACGAATGAACGACACGGCGAGCCTCGACGACGCGGATCGTATCGTGGAGACGCTCGCTGTCGCGGCCGCGGCCGCGATCGCCGTAGCCGCCACCGCTCGCTCGCTCACTCGCTCACTCGCTCGCTCCGCCGCGTCAACGATGTGTTGACGTCAGGCCTTATGCGCGCGTGCACATCTCAAGTTTTGCGTTGCTCGCGCTCATGTCGTGCGTTGCATCGCGGCAATCGGACCTCTCCGAGGATGATAATGTGGCCGTAGTCGAAAAATCAATTGCACTCTGTGTCATCGTTCCCACCGTGCATGGCGCGGTATATGGGACGCGCTGCCAAGTCATCTTCCCGCTTCCGAATCTCTCGAAAGCTGTCAAGAATGAGCGAATGAGCGAGCGAGCGAGTGAGCTGATCTCTCGGGAACCTCGGAGAAGATCGTGACATCTTCTATTTCTGTCTCTCTCCTACTTCCTCTCTTCCCGCACCCGTCGCTCGGATTATTTTTCTCGGCGTGTATTCGTAACGCGTTCGTTATTGCCAGCGAAATAGATCGCGATGCTCGCGAGCGAACGACCGAGGAGTTGGCGGGAGACGAACGGAGGGCGAGATAGAATAACAGAGAGAGAGAGAGAGAGAGAGGAGTGAGACAGAGAAAGAAAAGTGTTTACACATAAGCGTTTCTCCTACCGACGATGCATCTTGCGCGCGCGAAGCGCGGCGTAGCGTAAAGGTGCGTCCAGACTTGTTATATTGCGCGTCACATTGTTGTGAGCGACGACGTATCGCAACCAACATGGTTGTAATCCGTTGTCGTGCCATATTCACGTTCTGTCGCGATACGAAAAGGAGCGGAGGAGGTGAAGGAGGAGGACAAGGTTTACAATATATCTATTTTATTTATTTAAACGTCGTTTTTTTTATTCGAGTGTAATTATGAGTTTGAACATGCGATTTAAGTGCGCGGTAACGACGACGAAGATGCCAAAAGCGAGCGTGTCGTCAGTCGATTCGCTTGACGTCTTTTTATTCGGTCCGCTAGTCGTCGTTCGACACCGCTTCTCGTGGGTAGATACTTCCTGTTGCCATACGATACACATGGTCCGTGTTTCTTCATTTTTTTTTTCCTCCTTTTAGCTATACTCCTTGTATTTTGTTTCAATTTTCGTCCATCTTTGATATTCAATTATGTGTGTACGACCCTGCATAAGTTCAGTCACATTATTATTGGCGAGCGTATCATATTAAAATGGCATTAATGGAATTGACGATTCTAAAACATTTTGAACGTCCGACCGCTTAATTTAATTTGAATGTGAATGTGAATGTCGGTAAAACAAAGGACAAAACGATCATTAATTTCTAATTTTTTATTTCTAATTTGTTTATTAAATCATTAGACTACGATCAAGACTGTAATTAATTATCTTGCATATTTTTACATAAATCTTTTTCTATTTTGATTGCAAAAGATGCAATGTAGTGCAGCTAAAAGGAGCAGGTCCCTCGCACGAAAAACGCGCGATCGATGGATACCCGGATGGACGCGC